TAGTCCTCGAAATGTCCGCTAAGGGCAAAAAAAGAAAGATCGATACTGAATGCCGCGTTTTCAACAAGACATGGACCGCTAAGTATTTATTTACAGAAGTGAAAGGTAAAGCTGTGTGTTTAGTTTGTGGTGCGCAGGTCGCTGTGTTCAAGGAGTACAATTTGAGTCGCCACTATGCTACCAAACACGCAGATAAATACAAGAACCTGTCTGAGGAAGAGTGGGCAAAGGGGTCGGATGCTTTGCTAGCTAAGCTGCAAAGCCAACAACACATTTTCACAAAACATTCCACATCCAGAGATGCAGCTGTCAAGACGAGTTATGTCTTAAAAGTTAACCGTTTTCGGACGAAGAGTTCATTAAGGAGTGTTTGTTGGACACTAATATGCCCGGAGAAAAAGGAGGCATTTGAGAAAGTGCCGCTCTCCCGACGCACTGTTACGAGGAGAATTGAGGACATCGCGGGAAATCTGGAGCTTCAGCTGCAGAACAGAGCGGTCAACTTTGACTTTTTTTCCTTGGCTTTGGATGAGAGCTGCGATGTACGTGACACTGCCCAGCTACTCATCTTCCTACGTGGGATAACTACAGACTTCAAAATCACGGAGGAGCTGGCAGCCATGCAGTCAATGAAAGGTACAACAACAGGGAGTGATTTGTTCACGGAGGTAAATGCATGTGTGCAGGGCTGGACTGGGACAGCAAATCGGCCCTGGCATTTAGACCCAGACCGGCCCAAATCCATAAAACAAACGAATAGTAGCGGTTCCTGACAAGAAGAATAACTCAGTATAATTTAAAAAAACGCTATTATTATCCTTTTTACGTACCAGGGGCAAACAAAACTAATACATACCACAAGTATGTGTAACTATCAATCATTAGAAATTAGACCTTCAAACCCTCTCACAAAGCGAACAGTGACCGAGCACTAATAGGGGGGTCTGGTGGGGTATGCCCCCCACAGAAGAAAAGTTTTAAAAATAACCCCTTAAATGATGACTTCTAGTGAATTTAGGGGGGGGGGGACCCTATAGTGCCCTGCCTCCCCTTTCTATGACAACACAATAGAGATAGGACCAGATGAGTCTACAGGATGAGTCGACGGCATCTTTTTATATACATTGACGCTTTCATTTAATTTTTCCATCCTTTTTTTAATCGCTGTAATTGTATTGCCTTTTTCATCTGTACACACGACACCTATTGCACGTCTGTCCGTCCTGGGAGAGGGATCCCTCTTCTGTTGCTCTCACAGAGGTTTCTTCCTACTTCCCACAGAGGTTTCTTCCTACTTCCCACTGTTAATTGTGGGGTCTGTTTTGGGGAGTTTTTCCTTGAGCGCTGCAAGGGTCTAAGGACAGAGGATGTCGTACCTGTACACACTGTGAAGCCCTCTGAGACAAATTGTAATTTGTGATATTGGGCTATATAAATAAAATGTGATTGATTGATTGACGCACGCAAGGGGCTATAGTGCAAGTCTTAGGCGGCTGGTTTCTCAGAACCTCACAGAGCACACAGAACTGAAGGAACACAGGTTTAACCAAAAATACTATCCACTGTCTTTATTTTTTTTCCTGAGAATAGGTTTGAAAGAGACAGATTTAAATTTACAAAGAGAGTTGAAGCAACATTTGACAGAAATCCCACATAAATTACAAAAGTACACAACTAGCAAGATATATATACTGTATATATATACTGTACACACAAAGTAACTTATATACTAGACTGAAATAACTAAAATGAATGCTTGTTGTGGAGAGGGGCACTATGTCCAGCGTCCATTCCTCTGTGTGTGTGTGTGTGTGTGTGTGTGTGTGTGTGTGTGTGTGTGTGTGTGTGTGTGTGTGTGTGTGTGTCTGTGTGTCTGTGTGTCTGTGTGTCTGTGTGTCTGTGTGTCTGTTTGCATGTGTGAGTGTAGTTGGGGGGCTTTGGGAGAGTCAAAAAGGATGCAGGTGACCTCTTTGGTCCCTGATAGAGGTCCATACAAATAGGCATTGACATAACAATACCACACAGTTAATGGTCAAAACTACATGTGTGCCTACATTTTTTCTTCTATTTCTATATTATTCATTCTATATATTGTCAATCAAAACTACCACAAAAAGCTGACTATAAACATTTTGTTCAGGTCCCAAAAGACCACTGTTGCCCTTATAAACACATAAGTAAATAAACTAAACAAAACAAGCTGCCAGCTGACAGTAATTGTTCATGAATGGTGGTTAACAAAATAATGACATTCTTTCAATGAGACAACGTATCAGAGTCCCATTAAGCTATATTTTAACTTGCCAGGGAAAACCTAAAATAGCCAGCTTACTAGCTTGTAGGCTAACGAATGTTTCTCTAATAATATTTGTCTTATTAGTGCTTCATCAAGGGGATATTAATGGGTTCCAGAACTACAGAGTATCATAACCTTAATAATAATCTTTTCCTAATTTTCTTAGCTTCTGCTTACTGTGAGTTCTCCTCCCTCTCCCCACTCGCGCGGATCTCTCTCCCTCTCATCATCTTCCTCACCACCACCAATATCGGCCACGGGTGCTGAATATGGACCTGCACCTGTACTAAACATGTCGGTTATTTTGACACAAGCGGCAACATCAGCACGAAGGGCCTGCTTTTTTCTTGCCCGCAATTTTTCTGCTCCCCCTTTTCGCTTGGCCTTCGTCTTCGCCTTCGCCTTCTCCATTTCTAACTCGAACTTTTTTTTTTCTCGAAAAAAAAGGCGATTTGGCTTCAACGGCCGGCTCACCTCCTGGGGGCGTGATTTAATGATGCACACCGAGCGGCCCAAAGGGGGAGGTGATTAAAGATTTGATTGGGCCGGCCCAGTGTCAATTACTAAAAACATTTAAACAGAGGGCCAATCTACCCGTCTTATGGGCCGGGACTTCAGAAAAAAAAAAAAAATTACGTGTCGGCCCAAAAGGCACGTCGGCCCACCGGGAAAATGCCCGGTATGCCAGATGGCCAGTCCAGCCCTGCATGTGTGGAAAAGTTGGGACTGAAATGGGACAAGCTGGCAGGCGTGACAACGGATGGTTGTCCAAATCTGACAGGGAAAAATGTTGGACTATTGAAGAGAATGCAGGATAAAGTGACAGAAATTAACCCTGAGCAGAAATAGGTATTTTTGCATTGTATTATACATCAGGAAGTGTTGTCTAAGTCAGTGTTAAAAATTAACCATGTTGTTGATGTTGTAACTAAAATAGTTAACTTCATCAGGGCAAGAGCATTGAATCACAGACAGTTTGTTGCACTTTTGGAGGAAAGTGAGACTGAACATCGTGACATACCCTACCATGCAGCTGTCAGGTGGCTCAGCCTGGGCAAAGTGCTGAAAAGAGTATGGGACCTGAGAGAAGAGATTCAAGACTTCTGTGTGAAGAAAGGAAATGACATCCCACAGCTTTCAGATGCAGACTGGATGGCAGACCTTGGTTTTGCTGTAGATGTGACTGCACTAATGAGTGAACTAAATGTCTGCAAGGCAAGGGCCTTTTTGTGCATGACATGTACAGTGCAGTGAAGGCTTTCATGAGAAAGCTGCAGCTTCTCTCAAGCCAAATGGAGGACAACATTCTCACGCACTTGCCAACACTGAAGGAAGCCACACCATCAGCTGATCACCTCCAGAGGTACTCATCCATGTTAGAAGCACTGCATGGTGAGTTTTCAAGGCGATTTAAAGACTTCAAAACAGTTGAGAATAAAATGAACATGATCTTTTCCCCATTTACATGCCATGTGGATGATGCACCCAGTGATGTTCAGCTTGAACTCATTGACCTGCAGTCTGACACACTTCTGTCAGAGCACTTTAGGTCAGTCTCACTGCCTGAGTTTTACTCTTCCCTGAAAGAGGAGAACTTTCCACACATCAGGAGACGTGCTCAGAAGATGATGGTCCTCTTTGGATCTACCTACATATGTGAACAGACATTCTCAGTGATGAAGTTCAACAAATCCAGATACAGATCCTCTATCACTGATGATCACCTCTCAGCTGTCCTTCGCATATCCACCTCAGACATTGAACCAGATTTCCGTGCACTTGTTCAAGCCCAAGACAGACTGGATTTTTCTCACTGAACAAGTCAAATTAACTGAAAAACAAAAATCAAAAGCACTAATTTCTTTTTGTATAAAGCTGATTCATTTCTTATCTTTAACATACTGTAAAACATCTTTTCAGTATTGGTATATTGAGCAGAATTAAGTTCAACTTATTTTTGATTCGGCCCCCCAACACAGCTCGAGTTTCTGAAGTGGCCCCTTGTAAAAAATAATTGCCCACCCCTGGTCTATGCTATAAACCCATGGTTTGGGAAAAGAAAATATACAGGAAAAATATGACTGTGGCTCCCCCCAGTGGTGGTACAAGAGATTACACTTTTGCACACCAATGCAGACTACTAATTTGCAAGTCTAGTGTTTGCCTGTTTCTCTTTTTACTTGTATCAACATTTATATAAAGCAGTTTTTTGCCCTCGAGTTTGTGTTTCAGCATTCCGACTGTCATATTTTCTGAATGAGACACTTGTTTTTTTCGCTAAGCTTCGTTTTATATTCTGTTGATTTCCATATAAATATGAATTGTGTATGTTTTTTCACATACAGCAATATTGCAGAAGATCATTTTACGGCAACTTTGTCAAAATGTATGCGTTTGTTTTGTTCTTCATCATGGCAATACCCCATGTTGAAAGTCAGATCCAAGATAACTGGCCTGCACAGAGCTCTCACCTCAATCTCATCCAACAACTGTGGCATGAGTGAAACATCAACTGTGAACATCATTGTGGAACTTCACTGCTTCCTTTGAGGCTGAAAGGGAGCAAATCCTTCTAAAATCTTTAGAAAGCCTGAAACCAGAAGAGTGGAGGATGTTAAATCAGCAGATTAATGCCCATAAGGAGACCTACTTAAACAATAGAGTTCTTGCTAACATGCTGTTATTATAAACACCATACATTGAGTCAGTTCCAATGATTTTTTTTAATATAGTTGGCAATCAAAGATGATTTGATTCGAATCATTATTTACAGATCAGTATGTACAGTGGTCAAAGAAGAGCAGGAGGCTGTAGTTACACTGTGTGTGCTTGGGGAGGAAAAGAAGGGGGGGGGGCAGACATTCACCCTGTGAAATAAATGAATAAACCATAAAATGACTTATTTCATTGATCTACTCAACACCTAACGGTATGTGTGCATAGCTCGATATGGATTTGGCGACGCACACACACACACCCACACACCCAGAATAAATATACACACACACTGTATTTCAACAATTCATTGATAAGGTAAGACAATAGATAGACAATGATGTGCACTGGCTTATCTCACCTGATCACACACACGGACAGACACATACATGTAGACGCTCACACCACACACACACACAACTACAGCTGAACAGATACACAATCGCTAGACTCAGCCTGAAACTCTCTGTTCATCAATGGTTTGACATTTGAGATTTTTTTGCTGAGGTTTCCATTTCAGTCCACCAAAAACGTTTCTGTCCTGCAGGTACATCAACCAGTCTCATTGCTGTAAATATATATATATATAGAGACTTAGTATACAGTATAGTAAAGACAATTTTTCATTATGAATTTTTACCAAAACTGTACTGTATAGTTTAAGATGTTATTATGTGTTATCTAAACAGGAAATAGTTAAAAGCAATGTGTAAATGCCTGTTCTGTATGTTTAGCCATTAAGAAAATGCAGCCTAAAATACAGTTCCATTGAACAATGAGCAAGGTAATGAAACTTTAGATAATGTATTCTCTTAATAGACTGTTTAGACTTAAACAGCGGTTTATTTTAAATAGAGGCAGAATTTCATTTTAGCCATTTAGAACTGTTTTCACGCTTTTGATAAGAAAATACAAAAGGACTTTATTTTATATTACAACTTTCCAAATGCTCATTTTAGAAACATTTCCAGAGTGCTACTATTTATAGGTAATATTACTACAGACTCAAGAGGGATTTTTTTTTGTTTTGGCAGGACAGAAGAGTCAAGGATTATGGATATGTCTCCAAAGATGCATTTAAGATTGTTAAATTCCCTTGTTTGACTTTTATTTAATTTCAGCAACTTGAATGTAATCATAGCAGGAAAAAAGTCTCAAATGTCAAGAATGATGACTTTGTGAGAGGCACAGGAGCAGCACTGACAGCTGGACACACTCAGTCAAAGTTACAGTACTTGAGAAGCTGATCGAGGCGTACACAACTAGGGCTTTGGTGCATCATGGGATATTCTGGACAGTTTTTCTTCATTTGAAGGAGCAGGACAGGCGCTGATCTGATCGATCAGTCCATATATATATATATATATATATCTATATATTTATAACTATAAATCCATCCAATGAGCTATGTACAAAGTATGGCAAAGAAAATCTTTATTTAAATGTTATCAGCAGATGTCATTGGCTCTTCACTGCGTGTAGTCCGTAATGTCTCCAGTGATGTGAACATGTCATGCTAAGAGGTGAGTCCATGCCGGCGACCCGCAGCGTCGACACGGACTCACGGACCCCATCTGCCCCGGAGCAAAAGCTCGGCAGAGTCCAGGGCCTGGGTTCAGTTTGATAAGGAGGGGGCGTGCTCTGGCCAGGGTCATGTAGCGTTGACCTCCATGATGTGGTCGTCGGTGGCGGGCAGCACCAGGACCTGCTGTGTGTGGATGTGGTTGAACACTTGTCCCGGGCTGAAGGGCTCCAGACGCGGCATGGCCACGCCCCTCTGCTGCTGCTCGCCGCTGCCCACAGAGTGCACGCTACCCCGGCTGCGGATGCTCGCCGTGTCCCCCCCGTCGTCCAGAGCCTTGTCCAGCAGGGACAGACTGTCGTTCTCCACGCAGCTGTCTGAGGACGGCAAGAGACAAACAAAAATACTGAGCGTCCACAGGTCATCAGGAGACCATTTGATACAACACAATTAATTGTACTATTTTCTTTTTCTTAAGTTTGTCTGGGGATACATTAATCAATGGTCTACAACTACTACTCTCACAGCTTCTGCTTTACTACCTGCTACTGTTTAATACTCAGCTGACAAAGACTCAATATTCAACCTGAATGACTGTTAGGTTGTGTTCTGACACAGAACATGTGGTATGACAAAGTTTATGTGTGGGGGAGGTCTCACCAGGGTCTGGTTGAATGGCCACTGCTGCAGTGTGAGGCAGGTACTTCAGCACTTTGATCTTGGGGAAGGGCAGATGTCCTGCGAACAGAGGCATCACCTCGATCTGCACCTTGTGGGTGGCGTCCGCCGTCATCGGCATGGAAACCATCCCTGAGCTCTTCCCACACACCGCCCAGTTACTGCTGCTGTCAGCCACTGTGGACATGGGAATGAAAATAATGATTACTAGAGCTTAGAGAGAGCTTAAATGCAATATTTTGTATACACCATAAAAAAAATGAAACCTCCACGTTACTAGAAAAATACCCTCTGATTTTATTGCTTAATGTTTTTTCAATGCTTTCATTTATCCATCCTTTAAGAAAACCCAGAAGACAAACTGTTCTCCACATACCTTCATACATGAGCTTTGTGGTTTTGAGGCCCTCAGTGTCGGTCTTGCTGTCCTCTGTGATCTCTCCCTCTGCAGGTTCAGTCAGGCGTGTTATACACACCTCCAGCCCACAGAGGAACCCGGAGCGACAGTTCTGCTCCCCAGCAGGAGGCAGGATCTCTGCTCTCACACTGTACAACGTCTGACAATAACAAATAGAGAAAACCTCACAAAATGGAACAGACTGAGGGACAGTTTCATCCCACACGCCATAAGACTGCTAAACACCTGAGCTCTGCTAAGTGCCCCGATAAACATTCCTGTTGTCATCTTGCAATATGCTTATTTGTATAAATAGTTATCAACGCAATAAACCGTATTTAATTTTGTCTTAATTTACATTATTTTATTTCATATTCTGTTCTTGTACATATCATATTCTATTTACATGTATATAGACTTTTTGCACTACTTTTTATTTTGTATTTTTATATTTTATTATATGTTTGATTGTTGGAGGAGCTCAGGTCCTAAGATTTGCATTGCCATTACTACACTGTAGCTTTGTGCATATGACAATAAAACCTTTGAATTGAATTTGAATAGATTTTTCATGCATGTTTTCATTTTCAGTTATTCAATCAAAAGTTGAGCAACTGACAAAACAATTGAAGCTTCATGCAAGAAAATAAATGTTTAAGTGAACTTACAGTGACTCTCTCGAGCTGGAACTGGTATTGGAAGGGTTTGAAGGCAGAGGCGTCTTGTTTGAGCGAAGAGAAGTTTGTAGAGAAGACACACTGGAGACAGGAGGGCAGGTCGTCCTGCCACCTCACCTCCCACAAGCAGAACAAACTGTGCTTACTGCACAAAAGCTGCACCAGACATAAATATAAATTAGTAAATAGCCTTCAGTCTTAAATCCCTCAGGCTGAAAATGATCAATGGTTTTTGTTCTTCTCACCTGTTGAGTTTTAGTGTTGAGGGACTCCAGCTCCAGTGATGCATTCTGCTTCTCCGTCAGCTTCTCCGTCAGCTTCACTTCTGCCAGCGTGAAGTTCTTATCCGACATGTTCTGCACACACACCTGGATGTACTTCCTGTGGGGTGAGATGAAAGGTCGCATGTCAGACTTGTGTATGAGCGAGTTCAGGAATGTACATGGTAAAGAACGCTATGTTCATATTAAGGAAGTAACCTCTAGGTTCTGTATGGAAAGGATTTCATGTAAAAGAGGAACCTTTCTTTGGTTTCACATTAGTTTTTTATTCGCGACACAAACAGGAAAGTATATAGAATGGAGGCCCACCTGTTACCAGCAGAAAGCAGAGAGTGTTTGGTTTTGAAGGGGATGTAGAAGGTGAGGGCCAGCAGCGTGGAGTAGATCGACCAAGGACAGTCAATGGACATCTGTGGACAGACGCCAGCAAGACTTTACTATCAAATCTCTTAGTATGACAATAAGACCTCCTCCATCATTATTTCCCCCACATCAGTTACAGCTCATCTCACACTCTGAACGTGTGTGTTTGTTTCCTCACCCTCTGGTCGATGGCGGTCATGGGGGTGTCAGGATGGCTGTAGCTGCGTGGTCGGTGGCGGACCTCTCCGTTGGTCAGCCTCTCGTTGGGGGGGGTGGTCGGACCCGGACGGGATGATGCACAGAACCTCCAGCTGGAACTCCAGAGTGTGGTACGGGGGGGTGGCGGGCAGGCTGATGCTGGTCACCTTCTCAGACGACTGGATGGACAGAGCGCTTTCCCCCACCAACTCTGAAGGGACGAGGACAGAAAGGAAGCCGAGAGAACTTCAGAGCTGTATCCGTATGAGACAGTGTGTTTATAGGCACACACACTTCTGGTTTCAATAGGAAACAATAATGCAATAATGACAGAAAATCCAGTTTTCAGCCTCTCTGATATGGAGATGCTCTGCTTTCTCTCTGTTTTAAATTATGTTTATCTGTATATCTTTGGGTTTTGGACTGATAAAACAAGACAATAAAAACATTTCCTTGGACTTTGAGAAGCTGGAATAGATTTGTTTCACTATCTTCCTACATTGTATATATCAAACAACAAATTGAGAAAATAAAAAGCAGATGAATTGCTAATAACTCGTTAGTTGCAGCCATAGGTAAAATCAGTTAATAAAAGGTAGGAAAAAGTAGATTGCATTGAATCAATCAGATCCTTGAGAATGTGTACTGACCACCTGTGGGGTTGCTGATGCGGGCGGAGCAGCTGGTGGAGGGCAGGATGGGCATGGTGTCGGTGTTGCTGAGCTGCAGAGCGTCACCCTTCTTCACAGTGTAGTGACCCGTCAGCAGAGTAAACTTCACCATCTGAGACAGACCGGCCAACAGCGGCTCTGAAAGCACCAACACAACTCCAGTGAGCCACGGCTACACACACATGCTGCTCTGTGGTTAACATGATCACAAACACAATGCTGTCTGTTTGTATCCCCGATACGTGCTCAGTTAAAACGTGTCAACATGACTTTGTTACTGAACTCAAACTGTGACCAATAACCATATGATGGGAGGTGGATATATTATATTCAAACAAATCTGACCTGATAGAGGCTCCACGGTGAGTTGTGGCTCCTGAGAATAGACTTCATACTGGACTGATGGGTAGATATGAGGCAGAACAAACTGCACCTGACCCACGGTGGCAAACAGCTGGCGCAGTGTGTACGTACCCGGTTGTCCACTCTACAGAGAAAAGAGTGACTGATTAAAGGTGGAAAGTAAGGAAACAAACAGGAGTTAAAGGAGTTTAACATTTAAAAAAAGGTCACATTTTTGTTTTTTCATTTAAAGGCAGCAGCAGAGTGTCTCTTACTGGTGCTGTGAATGTGATGCTGTTATTCCCGGGCTCTAACGTTACATCCTGCACTTTCAGCATCTGTGCTCCTTCCTTCAGGGTAATGGCAGGAGGGCTGACAAAGTCGGGCGTGTCCGGCAGTGAGATGCTTTCCGGAAGCCGCATGACCAGATGAGTGTTTTTACACACCACTCCTGTAGAGTTGAGAGAATTGTCCGTTGGACTCCTGTCCTGAATCTCCTCGAGCTCTAAAGGGGGCCCACCTGAGGAGGAGGAGGGTCCCGCTGACGAGGTGTCGTGGCTAAACTCCACTGTCCCTGGCATAATTTGTCTGGCAGCTCCCTTAGACCTTCCATTAGTCCCTGCACGCTCCAGGTCAAAGTGAATGCTAGCCGCTAGTTGCTGTATGTGCACCGACACGGGCATCAAACATCGCAGATTAATCTCCACCTGCAGGACGGCTCCTGAGTGCACCGAGGCTGTGGCTGGCTGGAACTGCAGCCGCGTGAGTTGAGAAAAAACACCCATGCTGAGAGTGACTTTGTCAGCTGTGGAGGAAGAAGATAACATGTGATGTTATTGACGTACACATTTTTGCAGTTTGAGAAAAAAATTACAGATATTGTGGATGTTAACAGCTGAGGGATGGGTATATACGTATATACAAGTGGAAGAAACTGCTTAAAGCTAATTGGAAGTGATCTCAGACATAAAACTGCCAAATATTGCTCAGATGAATATGCCATGTGGAAAACCAGATCATCAGTAAGGAAGAAAAAGAGGTGGTTTTCTGAAGGAGGCACATGAAAAACTTGACACCTTGAAAGAACTGAACATCATAATATAGAACAAAGTATACACGTTTTTTTTTGCCTTCAAGTTTTTAAGTGTTGTGTTTAAAAGGTCATTATCACTTACACTGATCTTCAGACTTGCCGGCAAAGGTCAGAATTTCTTGACAAAAGTGCTTCCTCTCCTCCATGGTCAGATTCGCATCACCAGCCAACAAGGCACTGGTTTGTAAGTAGCTGCGGCAGGTTGTAAAGGAAACCGAACCCTACAGTGAAGTCTGTGCAAGAACACCACCTCTATCAGGTCCACATTATAACCCTTTGCAAACGTTCCAAAGCTGGACAATACTGGACAAGCTTCTGTATCCCCAATGGGCGAGAATACAAGTGAACTAACTCAAAGATGATTACTGTATTTCTTCTCTAATTTACGAGGATATTAGACATACAAGTTAAGTTCACGTTTTTAGTTAATAAAATGTGAAACAAACTTCCACTAAACATTCCACTGAAAACTGACGGATATTTCCTCTTAAAGTTTAACATAAGTGTAAAGTCAACATATGTGGCCCTTAATTGGTCAAATGGCTGTTTTGAAGGATACTCTTCAGTCCTGCCCAGCAGCTTCTGACACTCAGCGATCTGCTTCCTGGTGTGAGTGACAGGGAGGCTCCACCCCTCCGATACGTAGGACTTCAGAGCTTCCTGTAAGAAAGCCTCTGCCTTCTCAGGGTCCCCCTTCTTCCTGATAGACAAACACAGCACATTGTTTCTCATAGGCACATCCACATTGTCCAAAAATTATTTAATGCTACTTAGAAGTGAAATCAACACAAATATAAAGGCCAAAGTAAAGGAGGACAATGAAAGAGAGATGATCTTTATCGTACAGTATGTGATTGTACTGTCAGTTAGCATATACAAATGCAAATCTTTGTAAACGGTATTATTTTGCTAATCAAATTTATAATAAAAAAAAGGTTAGCGTCTACTTTGAACGTAGAATATTAAACTGTGCAACTGTTATTGCCTAGTGTTTGGCATTAGGCCATGTTATGATCTGAATCTGTTTGTTATCTGTAACACACCTTACATGTTTGGGTTAACACGTCTGATTCATCTTAGTAGTCAACCTAAAATGTGTTTTTAACACAGCAAAAATGGCAGGATGACTCTAGTAGGGGTTTAAAATATCACTTTCAACTGCACTTTTCATTTATTCTGCCTGATTAGACCTCTCCTCGGGAGTGTGTGGGTGTTAACAAGCAGCGACTGATTGACAGTTCTGGAGAGGTGGCCTAATCAACCACTTACTGAAAATACCAGTTGGGATGCTCTTGAGCTTCAAGATAATTTTGAGACCTATGTGTATTCAAAGTGAGCTTACATGTAGAACTCAGCCAGGCTTTTTCCCACCAGTCTGGCAGACCTCAGTCGGCTGATGGCCCTGTACATCTCCATAGCAGCATGAGAGAGCTCCTGATGCAACAAGCGGCCAACCAGGTGTTGGAGGAAGAGGAAACGGTTGATAGGGAATAGAGAGGATAGAGAAAATCAATCGTCTCCCCTGAGGTTTACAGCAGGTTACATCAGAAAAAAAGTTTTGGGACAGGAATTCAAGAAATGCGTGCCAACTTCCTGCTTTGCCAACTCCTGAAGTACAACATAAAGCTGTGGCAAGAAATGGACTTACAAGATAGTGCCTTTCAAAGGCTTCCACAGAAGACAAGGCCTCCTTCAGCTTTTTGTAAGGGCTCTGTAAACTGCTGACTGTAGAGGAAGAAAAAGGGAAATTGATTAAATGATGTTGTCTTTTAAATAACACTCTTCATTGAACCTTAACAAAATGATTGGCTGAACAAGCTACCTCTTCTATCAGTGAAAAGGAGACTCAGAACAACGGTAGAAGAACTTGTGACAACATGGACCAACAGAGTCATCGCTCTATGTCTGCTGTAAAAATCTGCAGAGTACAGCTGGAGGGCTACACTAGTTTAATTTCCCAGGAGAGTGTGAACTCACCAGTCTCAGGCCTCTCATCCCCCAGACCGGCCAGCAGATCCACAGTCCGGTTCAGGTCCTCAGAGGTGGGTCCCTTCTCTGACACCAGGCCACAGAGTTCCCCCAGGGACTTCAGCTGCAGACAGGAACAAGAATTAATAATATATCTGAAACCTCATCTCCACCATTATTTGGAGAAAACCCTTTTAACCAGATATTGACGGCTTGCTATTTAATAATCCCCTTAATTATATAAAAAAACATCAAGTGATCAAAGCCAATGCTACAGGATTCAGTAAGATTTGTTACCTTGTCAGTGGCGTAGGCCCACAGCCCGACAGTGTGTGAGCAGTTAGCAGCTAACTGGGCCTGATCACAGCAGCCCTCGATCCTGTGCAGAACCTCCAAGCAGCTGAGAAACACCCAGCAGTCCAGAGCCCCCTCCACCACTGACACCTGAACAAGAGGGGCGACATCGCAGTGTTATGATGGAGGACACAATCTATTCAGTCTGTTTCAATGTAGTCTGCTGTCCATCCATCACAGTATGGATAAGGATGGGTTTTCTTTTCTAAGTAACCCAATCACCTGTTGTCTAGTGAAGTGTTTAAGATTCTCTAGATAAACACTTTATTACCCAAGAGATAAACTGTGTCTATGTGTATTTTCTTGGAAATGTGATTGATTGAGGAAGTCGGAATAAATATTTGTTTTAAGTGGCTTCAGAGTCGGAAGAGCTTTTTGAGTACATGTTGATTTAAGTATATAAACATGAACAATGTCCCTTCAGAGGTCTGTTTACCTCCAGCAGGCGTAGCTCCTGAACACAGTTGTGCAGCAGCTCCAGGGCTCTCTGAGTGACCTCCCAGGGCCTCAGGAGGAAGATGAGCAAGGTGCACTGTCGGGAGAACAGGTAGCTCCTCAGATCCAGCAGACTGGCCTCCCCCCGCTGGATCCCATCCCTCTTCTCCATGTCGATGGGCCGCCGAAGCAGCAAGCCGCTCCAGTTGTTCACGGGAGCGCAGAACGAGCCCAGCCAGTTCGCCGTATCTGTGGATAGAAACACAGACAACTTTAGATCTTGGAAACAGAAAATGTATGCACCAAAAACGTGTCTTTATTCTGCTAAATTAAACCAGCCATTTGGTGGTGTTTAATTACCTCCAGCTCCAAAGTTGAGGACATATTGGGTAAAAAGAGCATCTAGTTCATCATACTGGACCAAAGCATCTTCAAACTGCTGCAGCATCTCAAAAACAAAGGCCAGCTCCTCCTGCACACACAAATAACATGTGAAATCCAACTGAACTGTGACACTTTCCCCAACAAAAGTCATGTGTATAAGCAGTCATTTTTAAACTATGGAACACAAAACTCTAAAAATAGCCAATAGACTCTGCCTTTTAGTTTTATTCCTGGTGAGTCAAGTTTTTATGCCCTTTAAGTCAAGTCATGACACAACCTCAGATTATCTTTCTGTGCAGATGCCTGCCTGTTGTTTTCCTTTGTACCTGGACCATGAAGTATTCACAGAAGCTCCAGCCAGGCTGAGTGCGTTTCTCTCGGAGCGTCCGCATGTCGTCTTCAAAGCGGCCCAGGTTCTTTGTGAAGGACATGAGGAGGAGGGTTCGCAGCTTGAGCAGCAAGGAGTTCCAGGATTCCTGAGACCGGGACGAGTCCTTCAGAGGATCCGACAGCACCACACACCTGTGGCAAGGGGAATCACCTATATTTACTCAGGGAAGGTTGAGTCAACGGGGCTTATTATATTAGGCAGGTAGTAATTATGTTGCCTGCTGTGAGAACATATGAGAAGGAAAGGCAATTTCACCTCCATCAGCTTGTTAATAGGGGGGAGTGTCCTGACCTGTCATTCTGCTTGTTGCAGAAATCGCTGCGGATCTTGTCCACGATGGATGACCGAGGCAGGATGTTAGTCTTGTTCTTCTTCTTAGTGTCGTTTGTCTCCACAACGATGATGACCCAGTCTGCTGAGCCATGAGTCCGCAAGCTGTTCTGCCAGCGCATCATGTCCTCCTTCACCGTGCTCTTATACGCCTCTGTGTCCTGTAATGAAGTAGAACAAATTAAAAAAACATAATTTTTCCTCTCGTTAATTGTCTTGTGTGAAGCCAGAAAAACATGACAATTGGAAATAACAAGTTAATATGGCAGGTGAAACTCTTTTTTTAGAATGTAAACCATCATGTGATCCAAAAGACATTTTACCCAGGGCTAGTAGAAGTGCAGAGCTGAGGTTAAACCTTGGTTAACAATGTGTGTGTGTGTGTGTGTGAAAAGGGGCTAAGCTATCCAAGGGTCAACTCTTATCCCAGAGCTATGGATTTGCAGTGAGAAAAGCCTATATGACATGGTCATGGTGTCATAGATTGTGACAGAAAGACTGTTCAGGGAAACCAGACAAGCAGAAGTACGTGCCTGTGCCTGTGCCTTTTAACAGGTTTTTTTATGTTTATGTTGTGCAGGTAATATTTCTCTCTTTTCTGAACCAACAAAGTTCTCCTTTTTCTTTGTGTTTAAAATATTAGATCTTGCAAAAACATTGGTTGTTTATCAAGGACTCACTTTCTTAAGCAGTCTCAACAAGGTAGTCTTTGTAGGTCTAGTCTATTACATTGTAAAGCTGTGTCCATATAACCAGGGCAGTCATTATTACAGGTCTGGTGTATTGAATTGTAATACTGTGCCCATACACACACACACACACCCTCAAAACAGCCACACCAAAAGCATAGTCTTGAGTCACGCGCTGATGACAGCACTTCCTTAAACTAACCAGCTGCTCAGTCAGCAGCAGCAGGTTCCTGCTTCCCTTCTCTCTATCCCCGGTCTGCTTTCCCTAAGCAGCAGTCTTGCAAGAACATCAAGTTCAGCACAAGGTGGTGAGTGCAAAAAGTTGTACATAATGTCGAAAACATATTCTTCTTTTCTTCTATCCTCAAGAAGCAGATATTTTTCACTCCACAAAACGTAGCTCTTACTAAATGCTTGACAACTTACATACATTTAAAAGGATTTATTTTTGTTTTGACTATTGGGAAGAGAAGCAGACATTGCTTATCCTCCTGAACATGTGGAATAAACAAACTCTTCCAAGATTCTGTGTGATTTGACTTTGGAAAACAAAATAAGTCAACACAACATGCATACTTATTATGATTACTCAATGTGTACATAAATGAATGATGGTTAATATAAAAGTTGTGTCTTTCTATATATCATAAAAGGAACCTCTACGATAACGACCATAAAACAGTAATTTAATCCACGCTCTCACAGCAGCATATCTTTTTTTTATTAGACTTATTTGACAGAAAGCTTTTATGACCACAAAAACAGAGAAAACTGTCACGATAACATCATCTGTATTGTGTGTTTAGCTATACTGAAAAATCAAAGTGTTCACAGAGAGTAATTTAATTAAAGCACATGAGTCTTTGCACCTGATCTGCCAGCGGGATAGAATTTAATTCAACAGTCCTTTATTGTCCCACTGGGACAGGACATGTTTCTAAGGAAGAGCTGCCAAATGATAAGACAAGCGCCCTTTGTTATCTTAGCACAGTTTGATAATGCACAATGCAATTATAAATGTTTCCCAGTATTGCCAATGTAGCATGTGTGTGTATGTGTATGTGTATGTGTATGTGTGTGTGTGTGTGTGTGTGTGTGTGTGTGTTTCAGGCTACTCACACAGCAGTCGGTCCAGTAGATGTGGAGGAAGGGGAAGGTGAGGAGAGCCTTGTTGCCGTCCTTTGGGAGCAGCTCCTCCTTAAACTGGACAAAGTTAGCTTCAAGGTGGATCATTTTTGGTGCACGGCCATACGTCCTGCACAGAAAAGAGAGAGGAGTTTTGTAGGATGAATTATATGCTGTTTACGGTCAATAGATGTTTAATGTGAGATCAACTGGCTAGGTATACTGTATGTGAAAGACCAAGACCCAATCCACTGTCATTGTTTGAATGAATAATGTTATCGAATCCTTTCCCTGGAGAGAGAACAAGGCCTTGATTTGAGACTGGTTTGTTCTTGCAAAAACAATTACAATGATTCTCAGGGTGTAAAATTGTCCATATTTTTCATCTCTCACTTTAACTTAAAGCTGGGGTAGGTAAGTTTGAGAAACCGGCTCGAGACACACTTTTTGTTATATTCCATGGAATGCTCTTAACATCCCGATAGCAATGAATATCTTAAGTGCTTTGACAAAAAATCCATTAAAAAATGTCATCTGTGGAAGCCGTAATACTGTAAAAAGCACGACCAATCATTTTAGCCGGGCCGGCTAAAATGATTGGATGGCCTACCTGCCTGTCAGCTTTCCATCTGTGCACAAACTTATCTCGTGCCCTCATTGGTCATGTGCACATTCGTGTGTGTTGGAGGAGGGGCTCTGTAAGGAAGTGGCAGATTTTTTCCGGCTGTGTATTTTCAAATTCTAGCGCACTCGAGCTGGTTTCTCCAAAATGACCTACCCCACCTTTAAAGGGCCCATTCACTGCCCATTCACTGCTCTTCAAAACCACAGAACGCTTTATACACCCTTATTGTCTTTCACTGTGAATGGTTTGTACATATTTTTGTTATTATTGTGGTAGTGTAGGACATTTAAAAAGCATGGTGTAATGACGTAACATGTTGGAAAACCTTTACCAAAAAAATGGCCTGTGACAATATCGGAGTGGATAAAAACATTACGTTCCAACAACTACATGCTCCAAAATTGAATGTGTGGAAACAAAAAATAAAAAGCTGTACAAAGATATGCATTACTATGTTTTCCCATCACTCGGCAGGGCAAACCTCACCTCCTCCATTCCATTGGCTCCCTCGGAAGTTGTTGGGCCAATGAGGTATAGAGCGACGTAAACAAGCCCTGGTCTCCAGCACCTGTGATGAAAAGGGGAAGAGCATTTCAAAACCAAAATTCAATTAGCCCAAAACATTTGTATAAGTCGACACAGTTCACAGATTTTCATTAACTAACCGGTTCTTCGTGTTAGTCAGCTAAGAATTTCTTTAGCCAAGTACAGCCATATCGATGATACACATTTTTAACTGTTTAACTGGTTATTTACTCACATATTTCAGTCTTTCCTGCTGAAGAACAGGTACATTTCCTACTTGGAAATGATTGTTTATGCTTTAAGGAGCTTCATGTTGAAAATATTTGAATGAACTGACAAAAATCATTTCTGCACAGCTGTTTAAAAACCATCACGTTTATGTTCGTTGTCCCTGAGGCTTTTACAATCTTCCTAGCATGCAACACCCTTTAGGCCTATCCTTAGACCATGTTTCAGCACCATGTCGGCTTCATAGTAGTGCACAGAGTCCGAGTCTATCTTGCATAGAAGCCTCTAGAAGTATCAAAACAACCAATACTGCATCAGCTATTCCTATTGGAAAGACAAATATTAGGTTTGTTCCACCATAGCTGCAGCTCACACCTCCCCAGTGCATTAAGTACCAATCTGCTCATCATATCATCGTATATTTCTCAAAATTGAGAACATCTCCTAAGTAATGCAACAGTTTTGTCATCACATTGCATTTAAAAAGTATTATATGAATATGAGAATAAGGTGCTTGATGATCAGCTTTAGTTTGAAGAGTTTTACATTGCAGTACCTCAGCTGGTGACTATCTGTTTGAGAGTCTTCAATAACATTTTGGCACCGAAGCTGTGAGGATCCACTTTCTGGGTTAGTCCATCATCACCAGTCCGGTGGAACAACCCCTCACTAATGGTACAATACTCAGCCTAGCTCAACAATAAATTCACTTTAATGTCTCCACCAATGCTCCATTTCTCAAAAGCTCATTAAAAAAACTGCCATTCACGCTAGCTGTGTGCGTTCTGATAAACAGAGACTGGAGGGCTGAGGTAATTGTTCAGGCTACACTGGAACTGGGCCACGTCCAATGAACCACGTGAAAAGCCATTTTTATAAATAGGTTAGCCCCAAGGGAAAGAAACAGGACTACTAGTTCTACACTATTCATCCAGTGTTATTGTAAACACCTTCAAATATCCTGCAATACAAAATTCAGCACTTCAGCACAACTCGTAGTCAGTTCTATTTTAATCCAGTGTGCTGGATTGGAGCCAACACATAACCTTGTGCTGACAATTTGCCTGCATTGTTAATGAATTAGCCTTGCCCTTGCTGCTCACTGTTTATCAACTGGAGAGATACATGACATCACTGGATGTGCAGGGTTGCTGTGTGGTGGGCGTATGATGTATTGTATGCAAAGAGAGACATTTGCATGAACAATCAACACATAACACAACATAAACTGGTTACTCTTATAGTTCAGAGCTGCAGTGTAACAATGTAATGTCAGCATGGATTAGTTGAGTTACTTGTGATCTTTCCACAGTAATACAGCACCGGTATGGTCCAAACAAACTGAACTTTGAATGTTCACAACAGCTATCACAAACTTATCACATGCAAAGCAAACACCAGTATAATCCCTTTGACCGTGTGAGTCATTCACACACAGCGTCAAGTAGTAGAGAAAGTGAAACACTGCTCATTTCGCTGGAGACGTATTACTCAGATTCATGGTTTTATTCATAAATCAATGTTTTGACAAATTCTAAAAAAAATGGCGAGTTCACACTTTCATGTTAAGTCAACTGTACATGTACAGTAGCATATTATAGTCTGCAGGTGATTTAAATCATGATAATCATCAATGATTGATAACAATCACTTGCCCTTTTCTGCCTCAGACCTAAACTGTGTCTATGCTGTAATTATCAGTATTAGATTAGTTTCAATAAATACACTGGACTCTCAGAAACAAGCCACTGTTTGAAAAACAGAACACTCTTGTATTATTATTTCTGTATGGCTTTAAATTGAAAGGGAATAGATTATCTCCAAAACATAGCAATTTTATCATAAATGTTAACGTGTAGTGTTGTTTTTATGCTTAACCTAGATAATGAAGAAATTAGAGAAATTGACTGTAATTCTAAAACTTTGCACTCCATGGTTATTGAGTCTTTGGAAATAAGAGTTGTATAAAACGTGTTTGTTCTTTATACAAATTAGGGTACATAGGGTGTACTTGTATTATTATCAGAGCCAAAAGCCAAAGTGCAAATATAACACCTGTGATTTCAGAGGCACATATACCTGAGTCAGGACACCTGAGTCAGAACACCTGCTATCTGCTCAGCTGTTCCCTGGACCTCGCTTGGGGCAACCTGTGCCTTAGATTGTGATTCGTCTCACAAACCCCCCACGACACTGTCACGCTGATGCTTCTCTTTCATATTCATAATCCCCAGTGCCTCGGTCTGCTCCTGTCCTAAAAATGGAGCAGCCTGCGGTGTGAGAAGAAGCTGGCACCCACTACCAGAGCTGACTCCTAAAATAACCCCTTCAAGGAGCTTACTTAAGATTCCAAGGGATTTATGAATGGCAAACTGACCCCACCGGGCCAACACGATGTGGCGACTACAGTCTGAGCTGCCAACGGAGGAAACTGTGGCTGTCCATCAGGGAACAAGCTGATATCCTTCCCTAAACTGCAGCAACTAGCCGTGACGTTATGTCGTTAGCTAGGCCTGTTAATTAATGTAGCTACTAGCTAGCTCAAAGATTCCCGTGTGGACATTTAGCACAGACAGCGGTGTAGTATACAAGTAAGAAACTATTACAGCCATGACAAAAGAAGCCACACATCAAACCATGCACACACATAGTCTGGTTAATATAAGGGAGCCAGCTAGCTAAGCTAAAACTAGCTACTGAATATAGCTAGCTGGCTAACTGTCAAGAGCAGAACAAATGAGACGTCTCCTTCTACTAAACACTCACATGTCACAATCGGCTTGTTTTCCATAGTATAGATGATCGGCTTTTCCTCTTGACACTCCATATGTGTTAGCGGTGGTACTCCATGAAAATTATATACAAACCGAGCTTTATTATTAGTAAATGCTTATGTATGCAGTTGTGTTGAATCGATGGGGCCTGTGTCCCCACTGCACTTCCGGGAAGTGCGTAACTCTGCGTCATTAAAGGGCCGACCTGACACATTGCATTGGTTTTATTCCTCTGACTTGGAGTTGACAGAAAGCTAGTATTTGTGTTTGTTTGTTTACTTAGAAATTAATAGATCCTTTCATTTGGAAGCAATACCCCATTATACAAGTAGGGATACAGTTAATTAAAGGCCAGTATTCAACCGTAGGCCTATGCACATTTATTTTTCAGTGTTATCAGTAAAATGTTCAATCAAACGTAAATGATAATAATGATCAACTTTATTTAAACAGCACTTTTCAAATGAAAGTTATAAAGTGCTTTACACTGTAGATAGAATAATACAATTTCTGATTGCACTGAGCCAGATACAAAACATTGAAATTATATAAACTATAAATAATATAAGATGAGAGAAATGTACATTTATTTTTTATTTTTGCAAGAATTCATTGTGGTTGATGAATTAAGTTATTTTAACTGTGTTTTACAGCACTTAAGAGAGGTCTACATATACAGGTGATTTAGAAAGAACCAAATTATAAATAAATATACCGCCCAAAAAGACTTAGCTGCCACATAAAACATTGGAAGAAATGTGTCTGCTTCCCCTTCATCTTTAAGTTGATCCCAAACAAAACATTGTTTGATTATTATTTGTACTCCCTGGACAAAATAAGCATCAACAGTAATATGTATTTAAAGTCCCATACAGCAACACAAGTCCCTGTAACTGCCACTATACCTGAAAGGACTTCTTAAAACCTAGCAGTAGTTTTCAGGTGTATGTTTGTGAAGGCCACACTATCTGTCACGTAGCTTCAACTCTACTGTGGGGAATACATTGCTGCCATCTAGTGGTAACCATTTGTATTGCACAATGTGTGTCAATGAGTGTTGAGGTTTTTTTTAATATAAAACAGACAATAATACACACTAAGGTTGTTTTTATAACATTCTGTTGTTTGGTTCATTTGCTTTTTCATTCTTTTTTTGTCTGGCCTTCATCTTTCTGCTTCATGTCCTTATTTTCTGAATCTTCCTCAGCCGTTTCTCCCCCCTCTTCGGAATCTATCTCACCACTTTTCTCTTCTTTCTCCTCTTCAAGTTTAATCTCAGCTCCATCTCCTTTCCCAGGTCTGTCATCTCCTTTGTCTTTGCTTTTCTCGCTATCATCTTTTTCTTCCTTTTCCTGATCATCTGGGTCCTTCAGCCCAGACTTATCTACCTCCACCATCTTTTCCACATCTCCCTCTGTACATTTAGTGCTCTCTCCATCTCCGTCTTTGGTCAACTCATTACCATCTTCCCCCTGTTCTTGTTTTTTAACCTTTGCATCTAAACCCTCCTCTTCTTCTCCCTCAGCCTCTTCTCGCTCCCATCCAACCTCCTCTCCCACCCCTTCCCCTCTTAACTCTCTTTTTATTCTTTCTTCCTCATCTTCTAGCGGCTGATTCTCCAATGCTGCAACTTCCAATTCAAGCTGCTCCACCCTGGCCTGCATCTTACGATTGCTCGACTCTAATTCCATCATAAGTCGAGCTAGTTTTGTCTGCAGGATTTCCAAGTTGCTTTCTAACGTGTTTATCTTTTTTTCAACGTTGTCCTCCTCCCCTTCCTTTTCCTCCCCAGTGTCCTCCAACATGCCCATCTTGGTCAGGATCTGCCTGCCTTTCTCCTCCAGGTGACGTTTAGCTGCGGGGAACTCTGATAGCACATCGGTCAGGTCTTCTTTTGACAAGCTGAACAGGTCAGAGTATCCAATGCTTCGGATGTTGGCAGTGCGGCGATTGCCAGACTTGTTGCCTAAAAGGAAACAAACGTTTTGTAAAAAATTCAGCAATATTACAAAATATATATCATTACAAAGTCACTCGTCTTTCAGAGGCATTAGGGAACCTTCCTATTGCTGCCCTCAATAAGAAGGTTACAGTATTCATATTTAAGTATTCATATTTTACAATTCAGTGCTTTCCAGACAGACTGCAATTTCCTTTCATTATCTTCATTTACAGGATCTTCATATGCACATTATCTGTGACTAGGACGATCTAGAGTAGAGATGGGACTTTCCTTTCATTTCTCTTCAACTACGGCCTACCAGCTTTTATAGTCTGGACCAGGGGTTTTCAAAGTGTGGGAAGGTGAGCCTCCCCTCAGAGAATATAAGAACAGCCGCGCCCCCCCTCCCAATTATTATTGCTATTATTATTATTATTATTATTGTTGTTGCTATAATGCAGGGGTATTATTATCCAGTGGAATGCCCTTACCTACTGGCCTAGTTAAATCAAAGTGGTTACTTATTTTTGTCTGGGCAGTGTAGTTTTACACACCATCTTATTTGACTTTCTCAGGGCAGACCCCCACAAAGAAAAAAATATATGTACACACGTAAGGTCATCATCTTAACAGTTTTTAATGCTCGAGTCATCCGTGAGCAGAGCATCAAGTTGGCATGCCTATTACAGCTGAATGCGGCGATTACCATCTTGTTCAGCAAAACGCCTCACAAACGTATTAACATCCAAAGCTTTAGTGCGTTTTGATTCAATGCTGAGCACAGCCAAACTTGACAGTCTCTTCTCTGTCATTGTAGACCGCAAATACCTTATTCCTTCCGTGTACTTGGGTCCGAATGCTTCTCGTTTTCTGCCGCCCGTTCAAATGAAATCGCCGCCAATCACATTTCCTCGCTCGCGCCAGGGTTACAAGGCTCGCGTCTTGTGCTGCATTCACTTGCACTCGGACATTAGGGATTTTCTCTGATAAATGTCCGATGAGCCACAACTTTTATTTCAAAACAAAGCTGCCAACTGGGGTGGCCAGACGCTGTCTCCTCTCTCACTTTAGGTAACTTCACTAAAAATCGATCCATGTTGCCGCTCGCATAAAGTTAGCTGAAGTTAATGAGCTAGATTTCATTGTTTCTCTTTATTTTTTTTCTCACGCTGCGCCTCCCCTGAAGCTCTCTGGCGCCCCCCAGGGGAGGCGCGCCTCACACTTTGAAAACCGCTGGTCTGGACCATGGATGTATAATAAGAACTGGATACAGCGTGGGAGGCGGGGCGTCATTCATTCCTATGAGAGTTGCTCATTCGCGCATGATGATAAATGGCCCAACTTTTGAGAGAGCGAAACGTCACAGATTACCCGGCATGCCTGAGAAGTACCCGTATGTGCGCTCATAGCGCATGCGCAACTTTAACCATGCCCCCCAAAATGCTCGTTCACATCAAGCACGTCAATTTGCGTACACGTAACAGCACCGCACGTTCATGACAGCATGGTAATGTTTGTTATGATAGATTTGATATTAACGAGGCGGCAGTTAGCAGCTAGCGGTTAGCTAGTAATTATGCTAATTTACACATCAATCGTTATGTACTTTTATATTACGCTGTAACAGGATCTAGTGATATCCAAGCAACAGAGCTTCATTTAGCATGAAATAATTATTGCACTGTATATATATATAAATATACACAGTGCAATAAGCTTCTTAGTGCAATAAGAAGCTACAGGGACGTTAATCTACGTCGGTAATATTAACTTTATTTAATACAACATTTACGGTACAAGATTTAATCATACAGCCCATTGAGTATAATATTTTACAAATGATGAATTACAGCAAACATGTGCAATATATCCATTATTACAGCTCCGTGGGCTGGCAGTAAGGCGATATGGGTCCGTTCTTATTGTGCATCCATGGGTAAAGATAAACGCATGTAGTGCTGAACACGTAACATGAACGTGCCGGGCGGCGCGGTCCCGTGGGTTAGATGCGCGTTCATAATGCAGAGGGAAATAACTCTCAGAATAACGTTATTAGCACATTTTACAACTTGAGGAACGAATGTTTTTAATAAGGGCTATACAAGTGTTCATACTGGGTAGTTTATTTCGTTTTTAAAAAATTATCCAACGATTTACAGACCACTCTTTCCCCATGTAAGTCAATGGGAAAAAGTGTTTCCGGGCCTGGCAACCAAAAGGAAGTGTAGTACCGCCGTTTGGCCAGCACGAATATTTTCATCAGAGTCCGGCGCACTTCCTGGGGGCTTGGTCTGGACCAATCTTTACAGCAGGTGCTTAATTCCTGAGTGTTGGGGGAGTAGAGCTAAAAGCATTATCAAGATCCAAATCACCACAGAAAGATGTATCTTCCCTTTGTACTAAATGTAATCCTTTTGCACTGTTGACTCAATTAAAGTCTATATGTCCGAGTACAAGAAAATGCTTTGTATTGCGTCAAAGATTGGCCGATTTCCCCTCTCTATATGCATTGAGGAATGTCCGTGTAGTAGAACTGGACTAACCTTTGATGTTGAGAATACTAATTTCCCCAAAGAAATTTGAGTCAGTAAGCACAGCATACTCTGTGACCCCGTCATCTGCTACAACTGCTAGTTTTCCCTCTCTGATGATGTACATTTCATGGCCCACATCTCCTTTCCTGCAGACATACTCTCCTGGACTGAACACCTGGAAAACCAAAAGAGATAATCTTCTTTATTCCTAAACAATTATTTTGTAAAAGGATATGTATTATAAACTAGACAAAGCCGTTGAGCTGTTTAGTATTTCCCCTGACCTGAGGTGTTAGTTTAAGCACCAGCTCCTCCAGCAGGCTTTTCTCACAGCTCTGGAAGATGGTGACTTTGGAGAGCGTGGGAAGGTGAACGCTAACAGCGATCTCTGTTCTCAGATGTAAGGGCAGCTGCTCCAGGATTTCCTTCTCTCGCATTATCTTCTTGTTGATGTGAAGATGTTGGTACCAGTTGTCGATTCGCTGTCGAAGCTCCTTGCTAATGTGATGGCTGCGCAGGTAAGCCTTCACCTGAAAGCAGAGAAAATAACCTTATTTTCCATACAACAAGTGAAAATAACCTCTAGCTTAGTGTCAGGTTAGGCTTTTTGACTTACCAACTCATGGTTAGGAAAGAAGACATTATCACGGTCCCTTAGGCTTGTGATGACATTGCCAACATTTCCAACAATGGAAGCAAACACCAGCACAGCAATGAGCAGGTCTGCAATCATAAACAAGTATTCCTCTTCCCTTTTTGGCAGTGGGGTGTCTCCCACTGTGGTGAAAATCTGGGCAGAGAACCAGAAGCAGTAAAAGTACTGACGGCGCATGGAGGCAAACTCGGGCATGGTGATGTTGGGGTAGACCCAATGATCACTTCCGAAGCCGATGTAGCTGGACAGTGCAAAGTAGAGACAGGCGTTCCAGTGGATCAGCACAAAGATGTAGATCATCAGCTTGGTAATACGGAAGGTGTTGGGGTAGGAGGTTCTTGTCTCCATGCGATCCAGAGCCTCATCAAGTCGTGGTATACGCACAAGACGGTTGATCCTCACCATTGGAGTTTCGAGGCCAAAGACAAAGTAGAGGAAGTCTGTGGGAAGCAAGGAAACCAGGTCCCTTAGGAAATGTTTAGAGTGCAGGTAACGCTTCTTCAGGTGAGCAAGGTCCTTGATCAGGATGCCTTGATCCAAGTAACCTGGAAAAAGAAAAACAAGGTCTATCAAATGCCAGAAAATCAAATCAAATCAAATCAAGTTTTATTTATATAGCACATTTTTAAACGATTTTTGGTCGAGCCAAAGTGCTGTACATATAATAAAAATACCCTACAGTAAAGACACTTTACAGCAAATACAACAGCACAGTTTGTGCAGAATATCAGTATGAGAAAAACGACACCCTCTGTCCTTAGACCCTCACATCGTACAAGGAAAAACTTCCAGAGAAAAACCCACATTTCAAAGGGAAAAATGGGAGAAACCTCGGGGAGAGCAACAGAGGAGGGATCCCTCTCCCAGGACGGACAGACGTGCAATAGATGCCGTGTGTAAATCGAAGAGATAATACATTTTACAGCGTAGGTACCGAATGTTTGGGAATGCATGTGTCTATAATAAGAAGATGAATCCACATTCATATACTGGTCGAATTACCTATAGTGTAGGTTGTCACTTAAAATGTTTAATGTTGTCTGGGTATAGACATATATTTGAGCAAATGGAGTGTGTTTGAAAAAAATTAAGAAGTCCTATAATAATACAAGACTCTTAGAATATTGTTGCCTAAAGTCTGGTAGTCTGTTGAACCAGATAGATTTGAGTATATTACATAACTTATTGTACCTTATTTTCCAATTATGCCTATTATCTGCGGTCTGATTGTTCTAATTATTTTAATACTCTATTAATACTTATTGTGTTCCTTCATATAACAGCTTTTATATGACATATGTGTAGAAATTAATAAATGTCTCTACAATAAAAATGTGTACCTGTGTGGACAGTGATTATCATGTCAACCAAATACATGAGGTCTGCCACATAGTCCAGTGTCATCCAGACAGGCAGGTAGTTGAATGCGATTGTAGTGAAGCACGTCCTGAGAAAACATAACCAAACACATGATGGATGTCCAAGGATAAAAGGTTATAAGCTTGGATACTTGATTACTCATATTTATCATGTGTGTACCTCAAAATGATGATCACCCAGTTATAGATGATGGGAAATATCATGACCTGTAACCAGACATAATAAAACTTTTCTGCTGGATCAAACACCAACTCTGTCCACCTGAGAGGGAAATAATGATGAAGAGAAGACAGAAGGAAACAATGATGAAGAGAAGACAGAGGGAAACGATGATGAATAGGAAACAGAGGGAAATGAGGGCAATCAGTAATGATGATGTTGGTGTGACATGAGGAGGATTTCCCCAGAGACTGTGGGTTATGGTTCTCATATGTACATGAATAAATAGTCAAAAACATATATTTTTATAAATTGTAACACGTATTGTAGTAAAACATCTGTATTAATGGCTTACAGCTGTTGTAGTTAACCTCTTCATGGAACTGCACTGAGAAAAAGCCCTGAGTATAGTGTAATGACAGTAAATATCATTCCATTTTATTTTAATATTACGTGATTTTCCCTTTTTGTCAAGTGACTCGGTATGCGTACATACAATAACGCATCATTAAAATAATTGTATGATAATTATCAGAATATTCCATTTTGTCCATACTGTATGGGGGGGTGGCGCAGTGGATAGACCCTTGGTGTTGGGATCAGGGGGTCACAGGTTCAAACCCCACTGCAGTCAGCATGTCGTTGTGTCCCTGGGCAAGACACTTCACCCCAAATTGCTCCTGTGGGGATTGTCCACAGTATTGAGTATGTAAGTCGCTTTGGATAAAAGCGTCTAACAAGTAACATGTAATATTGCCTACCCCTGCTTCCTTGTAAGGTCCTCAATATCTGCTTGTAGTTTAAACTCAGATTTTTAAAAGAAATCAACCATTTAAGATGCAAAAACAAGAATATAAAGTTGGGGGAAATTCTGTTACTGTGGATTTAAATGCTCACTACTAAGGTATATTAGCTAGATTAAAAAAATGTCTTCTCTCCTCAGCAGTAATAAAGTCTGAATTAACGCCATGAGTAAGATACATGAATGACTTACTTGACTTTCAACTTTTGATCCAGATTGGTGTTTGGTTTTGCTTCGTCCTTGACTCCATTTTCTCCATCTTCAGTCACTTTCTTACCCCGTTTCCAACTGAGCAGTCTCTGCCACTGGTTACCTCTGATACTTGCACCACCTGTTTTATCCATTCCCCAAAGATTAGCCGTAGACTAACACGTTTTTCTAAGTTAACATGGCCTTTGCATTTGATCTTGTCCCGACCTGCATAAGAAATGTAAAATATCGGACAATAATTTATACAACCTTCTGCATCAGGTTGTACTCTGTGGTTCACCTAACAACAAACCAGGTGTACCTGAGCTCTGCCTGGTGATGCAGGTCTCCATGGAAGAAAAGCACAACAGATGTCAAGTGTCCTCTGGGAATTCTTTCTTCACCTAGAAAAAACAGAGAGGTCTTCCTCTGCACATCGTACAGGCAGTGAGTGACAACACACAATAACTGGAGGATAGAGCGCAAACTATATGTGCCACTGTCAATAAACATATACATGCAATGTGTGTGCAAAAAACAACACATTATTTCTGACCAAAAGAAAATGTTTCCAATAACTATTAAAATAAAAAGGAAAAACAAAATATGTATAATTAATTTACATTTGTTACACAAGTTGAACATCAAGAGCGGAAACGTGAAATGAATAGCCTGATTGCAGAATTTCTTCATTCAATTTACATGTAGGAGTACTATTCAACCTGGGAGCCTAAGGATTCAGATGGTGTTGTAGCATTAGCATGAGGGTTAGCTCAGCGTGGGTTTGAAACTTGAGACTCCTACAATATCTGATGCCTTAGCCATGGTTTGGTCTGTTGTTTTAACTGGTCTTTTGACTGTGTGCGGTTTTGAAATTAAGATGTGGGCATTACATAAAGCAGGTAGGATCTAATAAAAGACACAATTGAGTTGCCTTAGGGGAAATATAGCATACAGCTCTTTTTGAAAGGATTTCAAACCTTTATTTATCCAGGTTGTATCCCATTGAGATCATTGACCTCTTTTTCAAGGGAGACCTGCTCAAGTAGGTTCCACATGAAACATTAAAAACATAAACAGAACAACAAAAGGACATCATACATTAGCATTACAGGGATTACAATTTACATAACTATCCACATGCACAGGTACCAACAGCTTCCGATTGAGTAGCATCCAACCGAGCTTTAAAAACATTGAGTGGCACCAGATTGCTCAGTTTCCATTTTAATTGCAGACTATTCCAGGACAGTGGAGCTGCGCATCTAAATGCTATCTTCCCTAAGACAGTCCTAGCAGTTGGCACATTTAATAAAACCACAGCATGCGATCTCAGGCAGCAGCCACTTACAATTCGCCGTGAGATCAGGGAGCAGATGTAGGATGGAAGTTTCCCTAACATGGCTTTATATATAAAAATGTACCAGTGACTGAGCCTCCGTGCAGTTAGTGAAGGCAGACCAGCCCTTGCATACAGGGTACAGTGATGGGTTAATGCTTTACAGTTTGTCACAAATCTCAGTGCACTGTGATACGCAGCATCTAACTTGACCAGGCAATTGGCAGGTGCATTCATATAAATCAAATCACCATAGTCCAGCACAGGTAAAAAGGTCACAGTGACTAGCCTTTTTCTGGCCTCGAGCGAGAAACAGGACTTGTTCCTGTAGAAGAAACCTAGCCTAACCCTCAGTTTTTTAAGCAGGTTATTGACATGACATTTAAAAGTGAGACAATCATCAAGCCAGATACCAAGGTATTTGTAACAGGCAACCACTTCAAGTTTTATTCCTTGCGTAGTTAAAATATCTAAAACAGGCTCTGGTGTCTTTTTAGCTTTTGAAAAGAGCATTACCTTGGTTTTATCCACATTTAAAAGAAGCTTAAGCGCTGAGAGCTGAGTCTGAATAATGTTAAAAGCAGCTTGCAATTCAACACCAGCCTCCTTAATGGAGGGACCTGCACAGTACATAACGGTATCGTCCGCATAAAAATGTAAGGTTGCTCCATCGACATTTTCACCTAAACTATTGATGTAGATGGAGAATAAAAGTGGACCTAAAACAGAACCTTGAGGAACACCATTAGTAATGTTTAACCACTCAGAAGACAGCCCATCAAAATGAACACATTGGGACCTTTCAGAGAGGTAGTTCACAAACCACCCCACTGCATGGCTGGATATGCCAATACTGAGTAGCCTCTGCTTTAAGATGCGATGATCGACGGTATCAAACGCTTTGGAAAGGTCAATAAATAGAGCTGCACAGCTCTGCTTATTATCTAAAATACTCGCCACATCATTCACCACTTTCATTGTGGCAGTGATGGTGCTATGTTGCTTTCTGAAGCCTGACTGATGTTTAGACAGGATGTCATTTGTACATAAAAACACCTTTACCTGCTCACTCACTAGGCGTTCAAGAACCTTAGCCAGAACTGATAATTTCGAGATCGGCCTATAATTATTTAAAACAGTTGCCTCCCCTCCTTTCAGCAAAGGCAGGACATACGCTGACTTCCACAATTTTGGAATTGTGTTTGTGCTGAGGGAGAGGTTAAAAAGAGTAGTGAGAGGTGGAGCAATAAAATCTGCAGCTATCTTTAAAAAGAAAGGTTCTACGTTGTCCGGGCCAGCCGGTTTCTTAGGATCTAACTTGGTTAAAGCTTCACGAACAACATCAACAGTAAAAGGAGTAAAACTAAAAGGGTTTTCCAAAACACGTTTTTCAGAGTCACAGACTGTGGTGTTCACAGAAGCAGAGTTTGTCACAGAATCAAACAGAGAGCCACAGGACACAAAATGCTCATTAAAACAATTTAACATAGTGGCCCTGTCCGATATAGTGCCTGTTGCTGTAGTAATGCACGGAGGTAGCTCATTACGGATATCACCGGTGGATATCGATTTTATGGCTTTCCAAAATTTTCCAGGATTATTCAGGTTCTTTGTGGTAACTGACAGATAATACTTAGACTTAGCACTTTTTATTTGTGATGTGAAGCTATTTCTGAGCTGCCTAAAGCGTAGCCATTTTACCTCTGAGCCAGATTTCCTAGCCTTTGCCCAGGCCTTGTTTCTCTCATGTAGGAGACTAGATAAGTCAGCAGAAAACCAAGGATTGTCTCGTCCCTTCACTCTAAAAGTACGTAGGGGTGCATGTCTATCTATAATTTCCATAAAACCAAGATAAAAATAAGACCATGCAGTTTCTACATCAGCACACAGATCGATTTTACCCCAATCAAAATCAAACAGATCATGAACAAAACCCTGCTCCACAAAATGTTTTTTGTCTCTCTTACTGATAATGCGAGGTTTAACCTTTTGGACTTTTGTGTCCCTAATTGTGGCTACAACACAGTGATCACTCAGATCATTTGCAAATACTCCCACAGATAAGTATTTATGGGGAGCATTAGTTAAAATGAGATCAATTAAGGAGGATTTATTTGGGGACTTAATGTTAGGGCGAGTAGGACTGTCTATAATCTGAGTAACATTCAGAGAGATACAAAGGTTTTTAAAATCCTCTGACACAGAAGTTAACCAGTCCCAATTAAAATCACCAAGCAGCACTATTTCCTTGTAGTCAAGTTGAGATAAAAGTTTTGCCAATGAAGATAAAGAGTCCTTGACAGCTGAGGGGGGTCTGTAGCAGCCCACCACCATGAGCTGTTGACCCTTTGCTACTTCAATATTTAAGGCTAAAAATTCTAGTTGTTTACTAATAGATTTGGAAACCATCTTGGTTACACAAAACTTATTTTTCACATAAATGGCAACGCCACCACCTTTTTTAGGACGGTCGGTACGATATACACTATAACCATTTAAGTAGATGTCAGAGGCCAAAATAGATTTATCTAGCCACGTTTCTGATAAGACAATGATATCAGCATCAGTCGAGCTCGCCCAAATGCGGACAAAATCTAACTTAGGTAACAGACTGCGCACATTTAAGTGAATGAATCCAGGATGACCCAGTTGAGACTCAGAGTCACAGTAGGCCTAAAGTATTTGACCTTTGCTACTCTTGTTTGGATCAGTCTCCCCAACTCTATGAAAGTTAAATAGTTTTTTTT